CCTTTATACTCTCACCAGTTCCTATTTGGCTTTGCCATGATATCTGTGCATGAGCAGGTATCATATCTGTTCACACACTAAAATATTCTTGGGACTTAAGCCAGAAAATAGACACAAAAATTAGTCATTTTAAAAATGGTTGCTGGGGCTGGAGCATTAGTACAGCGGGTAAGGCCTTGCATGCCACAGATCCAGGTTTGATTTCTGGCATCCCACATAGTTCCCTGAGGACTACCAGGAGTAATTCCTGAGAGCAGAGTCAGGAGTAACTCCTGAGCATTTGGGGGGCCTGGGTGTGGCCCCCAAACCAAAAATAAATTTTAAAAATTGGGGGAGTGTGAGAGTACAGAGGTCAGGGAGCTTGCATAGCACACAGCCAACCCAGGCTCAATTCCTGGCACCAGTGGTCCCCGAACACTTCTAGAGGTAATTCTTGAGGGCAGAGCCAGGAGAGAGCCCTGAGCATTGCTGGGTATGGCACAAAAAGCAAAAATCAAAAAAAGGGTGGGGAGGGGGACTTGAGAGATTGCTCAGTTTTTATTGGAACAGTTTGCATGCAAGATGCCTATGGCACCTGGTACCTCAGAGTTCCCAGAGCTCAGAGCCAGGAGTAACCCCCAAGCACTGTAGAGTGCAGTCAAAAATAAATAAATAAATAAATAAATATATAAATAAAAAGGGATGTAGTTTATGGGCAGAACTCATGCCTTACATGTTGAGGCCCTGGGGTCGATCCCTGGCACTGCATTTTATTTTATTTATTTATATATATTTTTTGCTTTTTGAGTCACACCCGGCAATGCATAGGGGTTACTCCTGGCTCTACGCTCAGGAATCATCCCTGGCAGTGCTCAGGGGACCATATGGGATGCTGGGAATTGAACCCGGGTTGGCCGCATGCAAGGCAAACGCCCTGCCCACTGTGCTATTGCTCCAGCCCCTGGCACTGCATTTTAAAAGTTTTTTTTTTTTTTTAAAAAAAGGTCTTTTCCTGAGCACCGCCAGGAGTAATTCCTGAGTGAAGAGCCAGGAGTAACCCCTGTGCATTGCCAGGTATGATCCAAAAGGCAAAATAAATAAATAAAATAAAAATAAAAAAAGGTCTTTCTGTACTACCCAGAACAGAGTCCATACAATGCGATGCTATATGTTCTCCCTTGTACTTGAAGGGAATTAGGAAGTTTTTAGTGTCCAGAGCCCTTGATGTCCTGCATATGGAGGAGGAGGTCCTCAAGTTCCTTGTAGCAGGAGTCCACTTAGAGGCACAAACCTTGGAGCAGTTCCACCACACAAAGTGGTGGCATCTACATCAAAAATCTGGAGAGAACCCGAGAGAAACTTCTGCTGGAAGCTCATGCCATTGTTGTCATGATCACCTGGCTGGTGTCAGTGTGTTCCCGTCCAGCAACACTGGCCAGGGGGCTGTGCTAAGATTCTGCTGCCATGGGAGCCACTTTCATCGTTGCCACTTCACTCCTGGAACTTTCACCAACCAGATCCAGGCAGATTTCCAGGAGCTGCGACTTTTGTGCTTACCACTCGCCTCTCACAGAGGCATCCTATGACGACTCGCTTCATGGCTCTGTGAAACACAGTCTCCCCCTATGCTATATGGACATTGCCATCCTTGAAACAAAGGAGCTCACTTGGCAGGCCATAAATGGGTGCTGGTCTGTGCAGTGCTGAGGTACCATTTTCCGTGAACACCCGTGGGAAGTCATGCCTGATCTCTCCTACAGAGCTATGAGATGGAAAAGGAAGAGCGGCTGCGGCTGGAAAAGCTGTATGGCCAGAGTGAATGAACTGCTCCAGCTCCTGAGCCCACTGCTACTCAGGTTGAGGTTGCACACTGCACTAAAGGGGTGCAGATGCCTTCTCTGTTAAAATCCAGCAGTTCCCTTCTGCATAGGAGTGCTCAGCCAGTCATACACACTGATCTGTGGCTTCCACTGCTCAGGACACTGAACCGGTACAAAGCACCACTGAATGGCTGTTCTTCCTTAGGCTTTTGCTTTTCTTTGGTGTGTGTGTGTGTGTGTGTGTGTGTGTGTGTGTGTGTGTGTGTGTGTGTCTTTCTTCAGGGCTTACTCCTGGCTCTGCACTCAAGGATTATTCCTGGTGAGATCAGAAGACCATTCCTGGGGGTAATAAGGAGACCTGGGTTCTGTGCCAGGGATAGAACCCAGGTCAGCCTCATATAAGGCAAGTATCCTACTTTTTTGTACTATTGCTCTGCCCTTTCACAGACAAACAGTAAATGGAAATAAGGTTGACAGAAAATGAATTTATAAAATAAGAGTGTAAACAAACATTTTATTGGATAGATTCACCCTGTCTTAAGATGACACAGAAGACCTACTTATGGTCCTTGCATTTCATAATGCCATAGTCTAATGGACAAAAAATTAATCACTGGGCAATTGTCAAACTTCTCACTGGAGCTCAGAACTAGAGGCACAGGCAGTAGAGCCCAGCATCTCAGCATGAGGTCTGAGTGAGTAGGAGAGGTTGTTCACATGTTAAATTTCTTTTAGGGTACAGGTATCTCCCTAAAATAAATCCAGTTTGCTCTACGAATAGCTAAAATTAACCTGGTGCATTAAGTTCCAGCCACTTATCTGTTTCCTTTTTGGTTGTTATTTATTTTGTATTTTTTGTTCACACCTGGCTGTGCTCAGGGCTCATTTCTGGCTCTGCATTCAGGATCAATCCTGGAAGGCCTCTGGGAATCATATGTCAGGGTCACGGTCCTCCCGTTGTTCATCGATTTGCTTGAGCGGGCCCAGTAACGTCTCCATCGTGAGACTTGTTGTTACTGTGTCTGGCATATCGAATACGTCACGGGTAGCTTGCCAGGCTTTGCCATGTGGGCGAGATACTCTCGGTAGCTTGCCGGGCTCTCCGAGAGGGGCGGAGGAATCGAACTTGGGTCGGCCATGTTGGCCACTTGAAAGGCAAGCCCTACCGCTGTGCTATCGCTCCAGCCCAGGGGATCATATGTGGTGCTGGAAATTAAACCCAGATTGGCTACATACAAGATAAATGCCCTTCCCACTGTACTATCTCTCTGGTCCTGTTTGTTTTAATGTGCCCAGAGTCATACTGTTTCTAAATGACAGAATAGGGATTTAATACTAGACAGTCTGGGTCCTAGGCCCATATCTGTGGATTTAAAAAAAAATAATAATTTGAGATGAAAATCAGAAAAAGTAATCGCTTGAAAGTGAATAATTCCAGAACTGGAGTGGTAGTATAGCAGGTAGGACATTTGCTCTGTAAATGGCCAACCCTAGTTTGATCCCTCATATTCCATATATATGGTCCCCCGAGCACCAGCACCAAGCACCGCTAGGACTAATTCCTGAGTGCAAAACCAGGAATAATCCCTGGGCATTGCTGGGTGTGGTCCCAAAACAAACAAACAAACAAACAAAGAGAACATTCCACTGGGGCCAGAGAGATAGTACAGTGCAGGGTGCTTATCTTGCACATGGCCAACCTGGGTTTGACCTCTGGCAGCCCATATAACTTCCTGAGCCCACCAGGAGATCCCTGAGTAATTGATTCCTGAGTGCAGAGCAGGAGTAAACCCTGAGCACTGCTGGTTGTAGTCCCAAAACAAAACAAAACAAAACAAAAAGTGAACAATTCAGTGGCAGATTAATACATTCACAATTTGGTACAGCCACCACCTCTATTTAGTGCCAAAACATTTCCCTTACCCATTAATCAATTTCCTCCCACTCTTAGCCTCCATGTACTATTTTTTATCACAGCTACCCAATTGTACAATTGAGGAAGTGAGGTTCTGATAAGTTCAGTAATGGTGAGAAATGCGGAGACCTTGAAACTCTGAAAAGCTCAAAAGTTCAAGGTTACATAGCCAGTAGGTGTGGAGCAGTGACTTTGGACCCAAAGTTCTCTGACTCAGAGCCCAAATCTTAGCTAAAGATATTTTTAGGCAAATCCACATGGAGGAAGCTGCCTTTGGGTTTCAGACCGGACAAACTTTGTTGGGGCAGGGATCTAGAAGGTTTTTTTTTTTTTTTTTTTTTTTTTTTTTTTAATGCAGGTTGAAGTAAAACTGCAATTCGTGCTGCACACGTGGCTGGCAGAGACCATTGTAATCTAAGCTCAGAGCAACCTACTATAGGGCACAGACTTGGGCAGATCAGCTCTATGGAGGCTGTGCCAAAACCTCGAGAAGCCCGTAATTCCTTGGACCGGCTATAGGCATCATCTTGGAAGCTGCAGGGAGCGGCGGAGCCAGGAGGGCGTGGACTGCCCCCTCGAGCCTGCCGTCGCCAAGAAACGAGGTTGGTTGCTCCAGCTAGGCGCTGGAGGCCCATTACATCCCGCCCTCCGTCTTCCTTCTCCTGAAGAGGCTGTCTTTACTCTTGCACACCTCTTTCACCACCGGCCGGGGCTCTGGGGTGGGAGGGGTCCCCTTTCTCTGCCTAATGACTTAAGAGTGCTTCCCCGCTTTTCAGAGCTCTCTGATCACTGCTGAGCCACTTCAGTTGCTCCATTGGTTTCCTCTCGCCGTTCCGACCAAGAGGACGGTGCAGACTCTTCCTGCCCCGCTGATGGAGGGGTCTTTCACACGCACCCACCCCCAATCCCGCTTCTTCAGGGTTAGGGTGGCGGCCAGGATCAAGTTCACGAGCGCGGCCCTCGGCCGCCCAGCGCCGCAGCGGCTCCCGGAGGGCGGCTCCATGGCAACCGAGACCTCACAACTGCGCGGAGGTATCGCGAGAGGCGCGGCTGCGCCGAGGCCGGGGGAGGCGGGGCAAGGGTGGGAACAAAGGCCCGAGGGGGCGGAGCCTGCCGGTTGCGTAGTTACCGGGCGGGAGACTGTGTCTCCTAGGGCGCCCCCGCGTGACCGAGCTTTACATAACCGGGGCCTCGCGCGTCACAAGTGGCGTACTCCACTCGGGAACGAATCACTGTCGTCGGAAGCTCTGGGTCCCGCCCGCTCGTGCTTGACTGACGTAGGGGCAGACCGGTGAACGGGCCCCTCGAGCCCCTGTGTCCGCCCTGGTACGCCCGGACCTACCGGCCGCCCGCCTGCCGCATCCCGCAGCCTGCTGCCGCCGCCGTCGCCAGGTTGTCCCTCCGACTGTCAGATAGAGCCGCGGGCCGGACCGGCGGGGCGGTCAGCACGGCCCTGGCCGGACATGGCGGCGCTCTACGCCTGCACCAAGTGCCACCAGCGCTTCCCCTTCGAGGCGCTGTCTCAGGGGCAGCAGCTGTGCAAGGTGCGCGGGCTGGGGCGGCGGCCGGGGATCGGGACCCTGGAGCTGCGGCCCAGAGCTCCGGGTTGTCCGGGGACGCCCCGTGGGGTCCTCGGGGCTGGGCTTGGCAGGTCCGCCCAGCTATGGAGCCGCACCCCGCCCCTGCGGAGGGCCGGCGGGGAGCGTGGGGGAGCCCGGGACGCCGTCTAGGCCCCCGCGGCTGGCGTGTCCGGGTGCTTAGCAACCGCGGGGGATTGTTCTCGGACCCGGGGAGGTCGGGGGAGGTGCCACGAGTCCCCCTGCTTGCACCCGATGGGCCGCGCCCGCCTTTTCCGACCGAGCACCGGGAGCCCGCCCGGAGCTGAGCTCCGGAGTCGGGTGCTCGCCGGCGGGAGGTCTCGAACTCGGGCACCTCGCGGGCCATTTCCAGCTAGTCCGAGGCGGGGAGACCTGAAAGAAAGGCCCCTAAATCAAGTGTATACTCAGTTGTATCAGAAGGATGAATTTTCAGCGTCCATTTGGGTATTTTCTCTCCTCGCTCTAGTCAGTTGTCGATCATTTTTTTTTCTAATACCTCTGAAGGTCCAAGTTCTCTTTTTCGTTTTAAGTCGCTTCATCCTGCTTTGCCTAATTAAGTGAATTAGTCACCACGCCTTTGCAAAGTGACGTTGAGATAGCTGCAGATAATCAATCCAGAGTGTTTTATAGCGTGCCCCTGTTTCCTCAAATGGCCATGGCCGTGTCATTCTTCAACAGGCCTGAGAACTATTTGAAAGCCTTTTTTTTTTTGGCTTTAAAAAATTGTGCATCCATATTTACACACATACTCATCTGTTGCTGGATTTTAAGGAAATTCTAGATATGTAAGCAGTTTTAATCCAGCACTTTCATTTCCCAAGTGAACCTGGTTAAAAATTACACAGTGACAGGAGCCAAGCCAGGGCTAGAATTCAGGGGTTCTGATTCCCAGTCAAAGGCTTATTCATACAAATTTTCTGTTCAATCAATAGTTGCATGTAAATTCTTACAGAGCTCTATCAACGCAGGATAGAGGTGGCACTTACAGAGGGAAAGAAATTAGGCACGGATTTTTTTTTTTTAGGTCTTTCAGGTCTTCTGTGGCCTCCTGAAAGCTGTTTTCATTTCTGACCACCTTTTAAAGTGATTTTGTTTCATTTCAGGAATGTCGGATCGCACACCCTGTTGTGAAATGCACCTACTGCAGGACTGAGTACCAGCAGGAGAGGTACAGTTTTTGTGGACCATGAAAGATACAATTAGGGTTTTTCCTCTTCAAATGTTTGTTTGATTTTGGGCCACTCCCAGCAGTGCTCAGGGTTCACTTTTGCTTCTGAGCTTAGGGATCACTCCTGGTGTTGCTTGGAGGACCATAAGGGGTTTTAAACCCAAGTGGGCCATGTGCAAGGCAAGTGCCTTTCCCACCGTACATATCTCTCCAGTCCCTTAGAATCTTGAATTGGTTGTGTTTCAGTATAAACACGAGTAGAATACAGGTCTGTAATCCATTATAGCATACAAAGTTGTGTATTTTTCCTTTTATAACCCATTGATGGGTATAAAATACACACATTGTTCCTTAATTATCCACTGAGTGTTTCAATTTAGCTTACTTATTTTTTTATATCCTTGATAGCTTCACATTGTGGTTTTGATCATTTTGACAATAAAAACATTCTCCAAATAATTTAACATAAGCCTTACTTTCTAGTATGTGTATATACAGAACTGGAAGAATTTGTAAGCCAGAAGACATCTTTGGATATGTGACAATCCGAAAAGTATTGGTTTATCCTCGTCACATTTGTTTTTGTTTGAATTTTTTTTTCTGAAGCAAGAAAGGTATTTTTTTAAACTTATTTAGAAAGATGAGGGAAAAGGGAGGGAGACATGTGTGTTCAGGAGAGAACTTAGTAGGGGCCAGAGAGATAGTGCAGTGGGCAGCGCTTTGTGTGTGGCTGACCCCGGTTTGATCCCCAGCATCCCATAATGGCCCCCTGCATACCACCAGGAGTAATTCTTGAGTGCAGAGCCAGGAATAACCCCTGAGCATTGCCAGGTGTGACCCAAAAAAGTAAAAAAAAAAAAAAAAGAAGAAGAAAGAAAGAAATACAGGAGGCAGGGCCAGAGGATAGTACAGTTGGTAAGGAACTTACCTTGCAGCAGCTGGCCCAAATTTGATCCCCAGAACTCCATATGGTCCCCTGAGTTCAGGAGTGATCCCTGAGTGCAGAGTCAGGAGCATTACCAGGTGTGGCCACAAAACAAAACAAAACAAAAAGAACATAGGCTTCTCCAGAGTGGAAATAGGAAAGCAAAGAAACATTGAGACAAGCAACGAGATATGTGGTCAAGGGAGAACGTGGGCTGGAAAAGCCAGCTTATTTCTTTTTGTTTTGTTTTGGGCCTATATTCATCCAGCAGTGCTCAGAATTTACTCCTGGCTCCGTGCTCAGGGATCACTCCCTAGTTGTCTCAGAGGACCATAAAGGATTTCGGAGATAAATCTGAGTCAACTCTGTGCAAGGCAAATGCCCTACCTGCTGCATTATCTGGTCCCTGTTGGAAGTTTGGGCCATTCCTGCCTGTGCTCAGGGATCACTCTGGGCATTGCTCGGGGGCCTGACCATTTGTAGTGCTAGCGATCAAACCCAGGCAGCCACACGCAAGGCAAGTGCCTTCCCTGCTGTAATATCTCTCTGGCCCTGGGAGTCATACCACTTTTTGTGGTGCACGCACACACCTGCCTATGGTGCAGTCAGCAGTTGCTGTGATGCCAGGGATGGTAGACAGCACAACTGTGAAGATTCTGCTGGAACACTGGGCACTTGAACTCATAATAACCATTTGCTTGTCAACAGGTGCTCTAAGCCGCAACACTGTTTCTCTAGGTTCTTTTGGTGCATTTTAAGTTGTGACTGTCAGTGTACTTGACCCTAAGAAGAGTAAAGTGTCTCAGCAGGGGAAATGACTCAAAGGACTAGGACACATGCTTTGCATGCAGGAGCCCTGGTTCAATCCTAGGCACTTTATGGTTCCTGAGCATCTTTGGGAGTAGTCTGGAGTACTGCACTCAGAATAGCCCCTGTGTAACAGGACGTGGCTGGAAAAACAAGACAAAAAGAGGAGTAAAGTTTTCACAGTGAAGTACTCAGGATGAGTTTTACAAACATTGTACACCTGTGTAACTCCAAGTCCTTTTACAGTAGTTGTACTGTTAGCGCCCAGTCAATTTCTAGCCCCTGACTTCACCCAGAGTCACTGTTGGGATTTTTCTTTCCACCATTGATTAGTATACTGTTTCAGAACTTCATCTGGACAGAAACAAACAGTATAGCTTTTGAGCTTTTTATTTAGTTTTACGTTTAGACCTGTGATCCATCTTTAATATTTTTGTGTGATATCTTTAATATTTGAGTACCATTTTACATCACACAACAAAACTCAAGTTGGATCATAGAAACAGTTTTTCTGAATATGTTTTCTATTTTTTTCAAAGGGGGCATTTGGGCCATGCTGGGCTCTGCTTGGTGATTCTGGCTCTGTGCTCAGACATCACTTCTGGTGGGGCTTGGAGGACCATAAAAGGTGCAGGGGGTCACACCTGGGTTGACTGCATGCAAGGCAAGCACTTTACCCACTGTACTCTCTTTTTTTGACCCTTTTCATATGTTTTTTTTTTTTTTCTCTTGGGGATAGGGTTTTTGTTTGTTTTGTTTTTGGGCCATATCTGGTATATCTGGTGATGCTCAGGGGATACTCTTGGCTTTGCACTCAGGAACTATATCTGGTAGTGTTCAGGGGACTATATGAGATGGGAGGGATCCACAACAACAGCCCTACTCAGGCCCCTGTTTTTTTTTTTTTTTCTTTTTGGGTCACACCTGGCGATGCACAGGGGTTACTCCTGGCTCTGCACTCAGGAGTTACTCCTGGCGGTGCTCAGGGGACCATATGGGTGCTGGGAATCGAACCCAGGTCGGCCGCATGCAAGGCAAACGGCCTACCCACTGTGCTATCTCTCCAGCCCCAGGCCCCTGTTTTTTTGTTTTGTTTTGTTTTTATTTTTTTAATTGAATCACCTTAAGTTAGAAAGTTACCAAATTTTTTTCTTGACTGAGTTTCAGGTATACATGTTTCAACACCAATCACTTCCCCTCTGTGTTTTCTGTCTGTTATTGTTTTGGGGCCACACACAGAGGTGCTCAAGGCTTACTCTTGGTGGACCTTGGGGGATCATTCATAGGGTGCTGGGCATGGAACCCAGGTTGGCTCATGTGCAAGACAAGTACCTCCCTATTGTACTCCCTCCAACTCCTTAGCATCTTCCCCCCACTTGGAATCTTTGTTTGTATTTCAGTATAAACTCAAGTAAAATGCAGGTCTGTAATCAATTATATCATACACAGATTCTGTATTTTTCCTTTATAACACATTGGTGGTTAAGTGCTCTACCTGCTGTGTTATCACTCTGACCCACCTTCAGATGTTTTCTAAGATATTAGAAGCTACGTGTATCTTTATATCACTTCAGTAATCTAAGCATAAATCAAACATCACAGAATCACTAGTGCTAATCCTCTTTCCAGTTGTCTCATACTGCTTTTTTATAAATTTTGGAAGTTTCCTGGGAATTATTTTGTTTGAATATTTTAATGGAAATGTTTTCTACTTTTTTTTTCTTTTTGAGTCACACCTGGCTATACTCAGGGGTTACTTCTGGCTCTGCTCTGGGGACCCTAAATAGTACAGGGATTGAACCAGGCTCAGCCTCATGAAAAGCATCCTTAATCCCTGCAGTGTCTCTCTTGTCCCTGTTTAGTTTTTTTGTCTGGGACCACACCTAGCAGTACTTTGAGATGCCCCTGACTTAGTGCTCTGTGATTACTCTCTGCAGTGCAAGGGATTGAACCTGGGGCTCCAGCAGGCAAAGCATATACTCCAGTGCTTTGCACCATCTCCTTGACCCCCATAGAATACTGTTTGTACTGTTTGTAACTTGGTGAAGGTTACTTATTTAAAGATGATTCCCTCTCCCCCCCCAATCAAATCTATCAGTTCAGGCATTTAAGTAATAATAGGAATTCTGAATCTTCACTGGGCAGAGTGTGTGTTTGTCAGTGGTGTCAGTGGGCAAAGGAGTGTGTGTATGTGTGTGTGTGTGTGTGTGTGTGTGTGTGTGCACATGCTCAGCCCTTAGAAACTGGAAATATGTTGACAAAAAAATCGATGGTATGGTTAGATTTTTTTCTGTTCACTCCACTGCTGACCCCATCTATATGGGACATCTATTTTCCCACACCTAGGAGGGGAGCATAGACAGAGTAAGTTGAAAATGAGTAGAATATTAAGTTTATATTTCTAATGCATTTACTTCATGCTACGCTTCAAATTTCTCAGCACTTCATCTGAATTGAAAAGTGATTTCTGCTAGTCAATTTTTTTCTAACATAACATTCTTTTGTGAGCCTTCTCTGTTTATCTGATAATTTTACTTAATGAGTTTTAGCGATGTCTTAATCAGAAATAACTCACAATTTAGCTGAAGCCTCATTTTATCTGTGCTGACAAAATGAGTTACCACAAAGTAATTAAGATTATTTGCCATATATTCAACCTTTAGTTAATGAAATATTCAGACAATATTTCATATTGGCACTTAGCAATGAGAAAATAAGTTTTCGGATATTTTAAGTAAAACAAGGTTTTTCTTTCTCTTTTCCTTAACAGTAAAACCAATACAATATGCAAGAAATGTGCTCAAAATGTGCAGTTATATGGAACGGTAAGTAGGGTTTCTCTCAGGAAAACAGTGAGTTCAGCTCTTTTAGAACCTGAACATTTTGTGAATTATTAATATAATTACAATAGTTAATAGTTATGTGTAGAAAATTTCTTAGAAAAATTACCTAGTATATCACCTTTTAAATTTAGCTGGTACGTAGTATTTGGAATTCTGTATTTATAGTCACATGGAAGGATTTTAGTTATAATTTTCTTGAGAGAATTTAGTAACCATTTTGTATGTATAGAGGAGGGGAAAAATTAATCCAATAATCTGAGCTCTTTGTTTTATGTCAGTTGACTCTTCATTTTTTTGTTTTGTTTATTGCCTACACTGGTAGTGCTTGGGGAGGCGTTTCTGGGGATGCTCAGGGGACCATGCAGTGCTGGAGACTGAATCCAGTGTTCCTGAATGTAAAGTTTGCATTGTTTATTTTATTTGATATTTCTGTTTTTGAGATTTGAGGAGGGTGCACTCTGGACCATACCTGGCAGTGCTCAGAGGCTGTTCTTGGTTATTCTGTTCTGAGGAGTGATCCCTAGCAGTGCTTAGGGGATATGTTGTGCTGGGATCCAACCAGGGTCAGCCACATGCAATACAAGCACTATTGAATTTCTCACATTAGTATATAAATACTTATATATAAATGCTTATTGGTTTTTATTATTTTCTTTGTTTACACATAATAGTCCTATGCAGAAAAAGCATTTTACATAGTGTTATGAATTGGGTTTCATTTGGTCAACGTAAGAGGTAACTTATGGAATGGGTTAATTTACCATATTTATTTACCTTCTTTAATGGACTATACACTAGAACACATTGCTTTGAATCTTTGGGGGGGGGCCTTTTTGGGTTACACCTGACGAAGCTCAGGGGTTACTCCTGGCTCTGCACTCAGGAATCACTCCTGGCATTGCTCAGGGGACCATATGGAATGCTGGGAATTGAGCCTGGGTTGGCTGTGTACAAGGCAAATGCCCGCCCTGCTGTGCTATCACTCCAGCCTCCTAGACCTAGAACACATTGCTTTGAAAAGTGCACTTTCGGAGTTGGGATGTACCCCAGTGGTAGAGTGTTTGCACGTGTGAAACCCTAGATTCAATGCTTGGCTCTGCAAAATAAATGGTTTAAATGTACTTTTATTATAAAAGATACATTATAGTTATTTATCCCTTTTTTCCTCTTCAAGCCCAAACCTTGTCAGTATTGCAACATAATTGCAGCATTTATTGGCAACAAATGCCAGCGCTGTACAAACTCAGAGAAGAAGTATGGACCACCATATTCTTGTGAACAATGCAAGCAGCAGTGTGCTTTTGACAGGAAGGATGACAGAAAGAAGGTAAATCTCTGTGTTTTTAATTTTTTTCTTTTTTCCCCTAATCTGAGTACTTTGGGGATCAGTATTTATTGACTTATACTTTACTGACACCAATAAAGCAATCTTTACCGTGCGTTGTCTTACTTTATCACTTTAACATGTAGTCTACCAATAGCTTCAGCTTTTGAATAGCCTCTAAAATTTTTTTTAATTAAGGTACTATGATTTACAATACCATTAATGATGATTTCTTATGTACATAATTCCAACACCACATTCATCACCAGTGCTTTGCATGTAGAGACCTGGGTTTAATTCCCAGCCTCACTGGTCCCCAATCACAGCAGCAGTAACCCATAAGTATCACTGGGTGTGGTCCAAAGTCTAAAAAAAATAAAGTTTAACATCAAAAGACAATGATGTAGATGGAAATCGTGTGAAGTGATGATACCTTGGTGGAATCAAAATGGTTTAGATTTGGTCTGTTTAAAATGGTGACTTAACTACTCTTAGAGTAAGACCTAAACTCCATGGTTCTCAAAGCCCATACCCAACTCTTCACTCTTGGTCTCATCCTCAGTCATGTCCCTACCTCTCACATTGTTTTAGCAAAACTAGCCACCTCTCAGTCCTTCAGAAGGCCAGTTTCTTTCCCACTCGTGTGCTAGCTATCCTTTTGCCTGATAGACCCTTTTTCAGAGTATTATCTGCTTCCTCAGTCCATTCTCACCTCCCCTCGCAGACCTTTTACTGATTTCTCAAGTCACTTTCCCCCTGTGTTATTGCCTTCCTGTTTATTGTCTGTATATTTCCCTATTTATTGTCTTCCATGTATACTGCATTATGATGTTATTTTATTTGTTTAAATATTGGTCCTCGTCCACGAGAATTAGACTCTTTCCATCTTATTCTCAACCATAGTTCCAGAAGTTTGGCACAGAATAGGTGCTCAGTAAGTTTTTTTTTTTAAATGAAAAAGTGTAGTACAGAACTTTTAAGTTTTCAGAGTTTTTTTTTTCCAGAGATGCGTAGGGTCTAAAAAGCCGACACTTCTAACCAAATCCATTAATTTGCAATGAAAAAGTATACATTTCTAAGGACCAAAATGCTCCTGCCTGCCAGTCAGGGCACTTCTTTCCTGAATTCAATATATAGGAGAAGCTAAATTAGTATTCAAGAAATTGCAAATGGACACAAACTTTGCAGTCCCACAGATCTGGGTTCCATCTCACTTTATGCTAGCTGAATTATCCTGGATAAATTATAAACCTTTAGTATGCATCAGTTTCATCATCTTTCCAATGATAACAGCTGTAGCTACTTCCCAATGACATAGAGAGATTGAGAATAGGTGTAGGAAACATTTAATTTCGAGCCTAGCCAACAATGTGGCTCAGTAAATGGCACTTGTATAATTATTAATTTAATTACCTTAGAATTTATTAAGTTTCTTCTTTCTTAGAATTGTTTTTTGGAGAGTGGTAATAGGAATGCTACTGGTAATTCTTGGCCAACTGGACAGGAGTTTCAGGGAAATGCACAGGCCTGAGGATGCAATACTGCTTGGGCCCTGTGGTGCTGAGGATTGTACAGACCAACTTAATTGTGCTCAGGGGCTGCCAGGGCTCTATCCTGCAATGTTCAGGAGACCATATGGTGCCAGGGATCAAACCAGAGTCAGCCACAATAAGCAAGCGCCGCAGCCCTTATACTATCTCCTCAGCTGCTTAGAATTATTTTGGGGTGCGGGGCTACACCCAGCATTCCTAGGAGCTATCCCTGTTTTGTTGCTTGGGGGCTATTCCCAGTGGTGATCAATGCCACGACAGGTATTGGACTTGGTCTCCTACGTGCAAAGCATGTGCTCCTGCCCTTTGAGTTCTCTTCTGGCCTTATATTCTCTGGGAAGTAAGTGGGTAAGAACAAAGAAATAAATGACATAACTTTTATTTTATTTTATTTGGTTTTGGGGCCACACCTGGCAGTTCTCAGGGTGTTATTCCTGGTTCTGCACTCAGTAATTACTCCTGGAGGTTCTGGGGGAACTATATGGAATGCCAGGGATCAAATCTAGGGTGATAGTACCCAAAGCAAGTAGCCAGTCTACTGTACTACTCACCAGCCCAATGGCACAAATTTTAGATGTAAGTGCTGAACAGAAACAAGTACATGATAGAGAGTAACTCGGAAATCCTATTTAGGTTGGGGGTTCTAATCAGGAAGTCTTCCAGGAAGATAATGCTTGAGTTGAAACTAGATTAGTGAAAAGGAGTCACCAAAGGAAGAAAGCTATGGAGTGCAAAAATTCCAGGAAGACAGATCAGCGTTGGCGCCAGGGTGCACACAAGTAGGGCACTTGCCTTGCACGTGGCCGACTTGGGTTTGATCATGGTCCCATGTGGTCCCCTGAGCACCACAGGAGTGATTCCTGAGTGCAGAGCCAGGAGTAATCCTTGGGCATCAGAATTGTAGCCCTAAACAAACAAAAGACAGATCAGCTTTGAAAAGATTTTAAGGCAAGCATGAGTTTGGTACTTGGAAAGAATAGAAAGATGGCAGAGTGGACAAGGAAAATTTACAGATGTTAAGTCAATATAGGCCCTGGCAAAAGTTGTAGATTTTATATTAAAGAGAAAAATAATTGGGTTTTAAGAAGAGGGGAGATAAAATTAGATTTACATTTACAGAAATGCCTTTTCGCAGTTGTGTGGTGGAGATGGTTTATAAAGATCCACAAGCGGAAGTAGGGAGATCATTTGCTGGTTTTTGCAGTTGTGAGAAGTATAGCAATAACCTGTATGTAGGAAGGAAATAAGTGCTTAGGTTCAGAATGATGGACTAGCTAATGTGTTGGTGGGGCCAAATAGATTTGGAAAGGTCACAAAGAGTTTTTTGCTAATAAGAAATAATTCAGGGTCCAGGGTGATAACACAAAGGACTGAAACAACACGCTTTGCCTGTGGGAGATTTGGTTTCAATCCCCAGCACCATGTGGTGTCCCGCAAGCATTGCCAGGTGTGAATTCTTACCAGAATTTAAAAAACAGTTAAAAAAAAAAAGATTGGTGGGGCAAGGGAGGTAGGCTCCACAAGTTGGAGTACATGCTTTGAATGCCAGAGCCCCAGATTCAATCCCTGGTACTTTGTTCTCCCCCAAGCACCGCTGGGAGTGATTCCCAAGCACCATGCCAGGAATAACCCTGAGCATTGCTAACTGTGGTTTCCTCCCCCACAAAAAGGCAAATGATATTAAGTCCTACTCATGTTAGAGATGGAGCAAGAATTCAAGAATAAGGACCAAGGATGTGATTCCGTGTGGTAGAACACATACCTTATATGGCCTTATATGGCCTTGAATTTGATCCCCATTCCCACCACCCCCACTCCACCCCCATCCGTAAGAACCCTGATGTCACTCTGGTGGCCTCCAAGTACCAGATGAAATAACCTGAGTTCCCAGGTGCCAGATGAGGCTCACAACAACGAGAACAGCAAAGGACAGTGGAAGTTATTTCAGGAATAAAAGATGAGAGCTAGGTGACCAGGAAGTTATCTTAAAGAACTGGAGACCTGCTTTGTATGTGGGCACCCCAGGATTGATCCTCAGCACTGTATGGTCCCTAGAGTACTTCCAGAAGCTTTACTCAGCACTGAGTGGGGTAGCCTCTGAGCATCACTGGGTGTGGTCCAATATATCCATCTATCCATCCATCCATCCATCCATCCATCCATCCATAAGATGAAAAGTAAGATTCTTATGAAATACCAGCATACTTTATCCCCAACCCAAGTAATTTCTACCAGTTCTGCCACCTATACTAGATTCATACAAATGGTTTTGTAATCTAAGTGCTGCACAGAGATGCCCCAACTTCTGAGGATTATGGAAACCCTATTGCTCTTCCTAGCTCTGTGCCCTACTCCCTGGTGCCAGTTGCTTTTGCCCAAAGGGATCAACTTTTTCTAATTCAAATAGAGTGCCATTGCTGATTACCATCAGGCCACCAGCGAGGACTGGTGCCCTTGAAGCCAATTGCCCATTAGATTTTTTCTGGGCACACTTTTTTCATCTAAGAAAAGATATCCAGCGGATTATTTTGTAAGCATTTATACTGTAATAAAAAAATTAAAATTATATTTCATTTTGTTTTCTCCCTGATGAATTTTTCTTAATGAGCACCACAGAGATGGTCGGGTCTTGAAATTCTTATGGGAACTTTGCTCTGGTGTGTTAAGTTTGCTCTGGTATGTTAAATTGAAGAAGACAAAACAGAGTAATATAGAAAATTAGCAGTAAAGGCAAGGAATCAACTTTGGGTGCATGTTTTGCTGGTGTGAGACCTAGTTTGACCCAACCCCTCTCAAATTAGCTCATATTAATATTTTACTGGGGGGGGGTGTCACACACAGTAGTGTTAAGAAAACAACAGACTTTGCTCAGGCGTTGCACTTTGGTGCAGTTCCAGGATTGAACCCATCAGGCCTACTTCATACAACACTTAAGTCCATCTATTGAACCATACTTACAGTTCCAAATGGTTCATATATTATTTGTTGGTGCTTTGTTTGGGGGTCATACCGATTGGTACTCAAGGGTTATTAGTTTTGGATTTATGTTTTTTTGGGGTGGTAGGAGGCCCCACCCAGCAGTGCTCAGGATTTTCTCCTGATCTGCACTCGGGGATTACTCCTGGAGGGGCCCAGGGGACCATATGGGATGCCGAGGATGGTACCCAAGTTGGCCATGTACTATTCACTGTGCTGTCTCTCTGGCCCCTAGGGGGCTTATTCTTGTCTCTCTGCTCAGGAGTCACTCCTGGTGGTCCTTGGGGGAACTGTATGTGGTGCTGGGGATTCAGCCCATTTCCCCTGAGTGCAGGACAAGTGCATTACCCTTAATACTATCTCTCTGCACCATCTTCCCCACGAAGCTCACCTTTATTAAACAGTTTTTTTTTTTTTGTGCCTAGTACCATGTGTTATGTCTATAAATCGTTTTGTATGTAGATCTCCTATTGCACTATGTTCCCTTTTCTTTATCTGTCTCTTCACTCTTCAGGTAGATGGAAAATTGCTGTGCTGGCTGTGCACTCTTTCATACAAACGGGTCCTTCAGAAGACCAAAGAGCAAAGAAAACATTTGAGCAGCTCTTCCCGTGCCAGCCATCAGGAGAAGGAGCAATACAGCCGACTGAGTGGTGGAGGCCATTACAACAGGTAACTTCAAGATGCGTGAGATAGAACTAGAGGCCTGAAGTCAGGTATAAACTCACACAACTTGCCATGGGAGATGTGATTTGATCTAATTTTTTTTTCTCTAGTTACTAGTCTATAGGAAGAATCCCCATTTGTCGTGTTTTATAATTCACGTATCTTAAATTATAAGATTCAAGAAGCTAGAGAGACTTCTGGGAGGTATACGATTTTTCTGACTTATTTTTCATTATTTCCTAAAAATCTGTGGAACTGGGGCCGGAACAATAGTACAGAGTGTAGGGTAATTTGCCTTGCATGTGGCCAACTGGGTTTGATCCCTGGCATCTCATATGGTCCCCCAGCACTGCCAGGAGTAATTCCTGAGTGCAGAGACAAGAGTAACACCTGGGCATCGCTGGATGTGACCCAAAAATAAAAAAAAATAATAATAACTTGTGGAACTTTGTCCACTTTCACACTATGCCCCTCACCATTAGAATGGGTGATGTTCTGGCTCTGTGCTCAGGGATCGCTCCTGGAGTTGCTTGGGATTAAGCAGTGTCTTACCCCCTGTATTGTTTTTCAGGTCCCAGAATATAGCTTTCTATGCACATTTGGCCAGCAGGTTGTTAGATATTCCATGTGGGATCTAGTAAAAAATATGTCCTTTCAGGGACTGAAACAATAGTACATTGGCTTAAGCGCTTGCTTGGCACACTGACTCAGGTTAATACCTAGTGCACTACCTGATTCCCTGAGCCCTGCCCGGAGTGATCCCTGAGTACTGCCAGGTGTGGCCCAAACCTTGCCACTCCCCACCAAAGAAAAGTCCTTTTAGAGTGTCTTTAGTGTGACGAATTCTGATTCTGAATTGAATTCTAGCATTGCCAACTTTGCTGAGGGGGATCTTGGGCAAGTTTCTTTATCTGTTGAATGAGGGAAATGATTATCTCATGAAGGAGCTGTGAAAATAAATTACTTCATACATGCATGCTAACTAGTTTTTTAGCTGGAATATAGAAAGCATTTAATACAGAGTAACATTATATCTGTTATGGCCATTGTGATTTTGTTTGTTTTCAGCAAACATTGTTACTGGCCAGGGACTCTGCTGGGAATTAAGAGATAAATAAAAACACCATATTGCTCTCCCAAGTATGCAGCCTGGTAGGGCAGATAGATCTGTAATCAAATCATTTTAGGATAATTTGATGAGTGGCCGAATAGAAACTTGTCAAGATAGAAGCATAAGAAGCATCTGTAATTAATTGCTTTTTTTTTTTTTTTTGCTTTTTGGGTCACACCCAGCGATGCACAGGGGTTCTCCTGGCTCTGCACTCAGGAATTACCCCTGGCGGTGCTCAGGGGACCATATGGGATGCTGGGAATCAAACCTGGGTCAGCCGCATGCAAGGCAAATGCCCTACCCGCTGTGCTGTCATTCCAGCCCATTTGCTTATTGAAGTTTTACTGACTCTTCTCTAAGTAATTGAAAGTTATTAATCAATTAATAATAATTAAGACAGATTTTATTTGGGGAGAAGGTGGAAATAAGTTACCTATTCATACAAAAACTATGAAGTCAGTGTTTTGGTGGACTTTATTGAGGACTTTTTTTTTGAAGGTGGTGCCAGGGACTGAATTTAGGACCTCATGCATGTCAGTGCATGTCATATGTTCTATCAGGGACTGAACTGGGTCCATCATGTATCAGGCAAGATCCTTAACCTCTGTGTTATATTATTCCGTTTTTCTACTTGGTTCTTTTTGGTGAATTTTAATCCAAATTGTTAGAGAGCTAGGAATGTAAATTAGTAGTAGAGTTTTTGCCTTGTGTATGTGGGAACCCTGGGTTCCATTCCAAGCAATCACGGTCACAGTCACGGTCCTCCCGTTATTCATTGATTTGCTCGAGCGGGCCCAGTAACGTCTCCATCATGAGACTCGTTGTTACTGTGTTTGGCATATCGAGTATGTCACGGCATTGGTGATATAGTGGCTAGCATAGCTGCCTTCCATTCCAAACAATGCACAAAAAAATCTTTTATTTTGTCAGGTGAGATTAGGGCCACCACACCCACAATTGTGCTAGTCCTGGCTAGTCCTGGCTTTGAGTTTAGGAGTCCATATGCAAATAAGGGTCACAGGATGCAAATCAAGTGCTTTAACTCCTCTATTTTCTCTCTGGTTTCAAAAGTTATTAGTTTTGTTTTTCTTCATTTTTTTTTCTTTTTTTTTTTCTTTTTTTTTTGGGTAACACCCAATGACGCACAGGGGTGACTCCTGGCTCTACACTCAGGAGTTACTCCTGGTGGTGCTCAGGGGACCATATGGGATGCTGGGAATCGAATCCCGGTCAGCCACGTGCAAGGCAAATGCCCTACCCTCTGTGCTATCTCTCCAGCCCCCCAAAATTATTAGTTTTAATAAACTTGAAAATTGTGTTGGTCATCTTTGATAGGCTTTAAAGCTTTTGTTTTATTAATATTTGATTTCTAATACATCTCTTTTTGCCATTTAAAAGCCAGAAAACTCTTTCTACATCTTCAATTCAAAATGAAATCCCAAAGAAAAAATCCAAGTTTGAGTCAATCACGACCAATGGAGACAGGTAAGTCAACTGGATAATGTGTGTGTTGTTGGGGGGAGTGTTCTGTGTGAAGTGCATACAGTTCCTGAAATAGGAATATGTTTTAGGGTGTGCCTTGGGGTTAGTCTGTGATTGTCGATAAACCTCTTAAGATCATTACACTAGCCACTTGATATAAACAAGCAGTACTGATAATTAGTTTATAATTCTAATATTGTCATTAAAAGACTTGAACATATAACTGGATTAAAGAGCAATTGAATTTCTGCAGAATTTCTGCAGGCCACAGATAACTCCCTCAGACTAATTCTAAATAAAGATCTAGATACTTTTCATTGTGATCTTTGTAGCCTCTAGGCAGGACTGCAGTCATTCTTCAGAGGCTGAGCAGACAGAAGTTGGAATTAAGGCTGTTTCGTACTCAGTCTGTGAGGGTGAAGCCATGCTTCCTTAGTATTCAGAAAGATGACCCCATGCAGACACTGGATCAGGAGAGAATGAGATGCATTTAAATATTTTTGTTTCATTTTAAGCCTGTCTAAATGCATATTTTTATTCCTCGCTTTCCTCTCTCCTTCTCAGCGACGCTTCCTCTTACGAGCTGCTTTGTCCTAATATCCAGAATGCCCCATCCGTGTTGGTGCAGTGGGCTGCTTCCCAACAGAGTCTTGGGGCCAACCATTTTCCTGTTCCTCCAGGCCTGGGCATCCTGAAGTGAGACCACCTGACATACTCTCCCCAAAATCATTGGAATCATCTCCATTCCGAAAACTCCTCCCAATCTCAGTTCTCCCTATCAGCCGGCGGTTGATATGGGAGCAGACTTGTATATAGGCTCACTAGGGCTGAATTCTGTTTATTTGTGGGGTGGGGGGATGTTCAAAGCATCTGTGAAGTTTACTCTTTCCTTTCACCTTTTTATCAACTCTATTTCAGACTCTGCAAGGTATCTTTTTAGCAACTATATATCATTGATTTTAAATTTCTTGAGTTGAAGCTTCTGAAAATGCTTCATTTAGAGATTATATTAGGGAAGGAGCTCTCAGGAAGTCCATCTTTCCAGTCAGCTTTACTGTTTTCTGAGCAATTAGTCTTGCCATTCTGAAGGTAGTAGAAATGATGTAGGTTGTCCCATCAGCTGTGCTAGTGTTCATAATCCTTCAAAAACTTCTTCCAATAGAACTTTTCTGAATATGAAGGCCCAAGCCAAGAGCCACAGCATTTAGAGACATCTTTACTACTTTTACTGTTTATGATCCAAGCTGTGTTCGAAAGTCCTCATTCATTTCCTTTAGTTTAAAAGTCCTCAAAATTTATCTTCTGTTGGCTCATTTTGTGCTAACATACTCCCACTGTTTTTGCTCTCCATTACTAGAAATACACCAAAACAAAAGCTAAGCTTTTCATTCAAAGTACTTTATTTTATTCAATCATGAGTGATGATTGTTTTCCTCAAATAGGTTGCCGATTCTTAACTTAGGTACACCGTCTTTTGTAATGTCTTCTGTATGAATCCTCATAAATCCTTTTTTCTTGGGCCGTAGAGACAGCTCAACGGTCTTAGTGCATGCTTGCATGCAGGAGGCCCAGGTTCAATCCCTGGTACCACATGGACCCTCAGCATTGCTGAAAGTGACCCTCCCCCCCCACCCCCCCACACACACACATACAAGCACTGAGCTAGGAGTATCCTCCAAGTGTGACTCAAAACAAAAACAAAAATTTTTCTTAAAATATATGTAGTAGTTTTGGGGGCAGGGAGGTAGTAGAGGAGTTAGGATACTAGCCTTGCACGTTGGTGACCCCAGTTCCATTCCAGCACCACAAGTGGTTTCCCAAGCACCAATAGTAGAGATTCCTGAGGACAGCAAGGAGTAGGCCCTGTGCAGAGTCAGGTGGGGCCCAAACATGCCTCTTCCCCATGTATGTGGTAATTTTTTACAATAATTTACTATTAGTAACTTGATAATCTGGAGAATTTTTCTGCTGCCACAAAGATTTTCATACATACACAGGTTTCATTACTTCTGCATTTAATCTATTTCATTTGTTTGTATTTCTCTCTTTTAAAAGTTTTTATAGCACAAGACAAAATACATTTCCCTTTTAACTCTTCTGTTTTTTTCTTTGCTTACCTGTCACTTTGAAAACATAGTAGAAATTCTTTTTTGTTTGTTTGTTTTTGTTTTGTGTCTGGCTATACCCAGCAGTGCTTAAGGCTTAATAAGGCTCTGTACTCTGGAATCACTCTTGGTGGTATACAGGAGATCGTATGGGGGGGGTGCTAGGAATTAAACCAGGTCAGCTGTATGTAAGTCAAGCGCCTTAAATTCTGTACTGTTTCTCTGACCCCAGAAGTTACTATGTATCTACATATTTTGGTTTTTGGACCACACCTGGAAGTGCAGGGCTCAGGGAACAGTATGTGGTGCTTAAGATCAGACCCAGTTGGCTGCGTGCAAGGCAAGTACCCAACCCACTGCTCCAGCCCCAGAAGTCATTAGTATTTTTTTTTTGGGGGGGGAGAGGGGAGTAGGGCACACCCAGCGGTGCTCAGGACTTGCTCCTGGCTCTGTATTCAGAAATAACTTCTGGCAGGGCTTAGAGGACCATATGAAGTGTCAGGTGTCAAACCCGGGTCATCCACCTGGAAGGCAAACTTCCTGCCCACTATACCATTGCTCTGGCCTCAAGAAATCATTATTTTTGAGTCTTTTTTTTTTTTAATGCCTTGCAAACTCTAGTTTTGGAAATAAGGTTTGGGGCTACATCAGGTGGTGCTTGGAAGCTTTTCTGGGCTCACTGCTCAAAAATGACCCCTTGCAGTGTTTGGGGAAAACATACATGGTTCTGGGATTCCAGCTGCTGGGGTTGGTGGGATACAAGGCTAGTGCTTTAACTGCCCTATACTATCTTTTATTGAACATCTATTGTGAATTTGATTCTGTGCTCTGTTACTAGTCTTGTTTTCTGAATTGCTTATTGTAGTTGCCTCCAAGTTTAGATTGACTCAGATCAGTCCACCATTCTGCTTTCCTGGCCCAGCTTTTTTTGTTTGTTTAATTTGTTTTTTTGGGCCATACTGGGCAGTGCTCAGGGCTTACTCCTAGCTCTACACTTAGGAATCGATCCTGTGGGCTCGGGGGGGGTGGGGGGGGGGGAGGGGGGCGGGGCGCAGGGGCTTACTCCTGGCTCCACACTTAGGAATCAATCCCTGGTGGGATCCTGAGGATTGAACCCAAATTGGCCACATACAAGGCAAGTGCCCTAACTGCTGTACTATCCGTGGTCTACTTTATTATATTATTTGGGGTAGGGGTGGGGGTGTAGGCACACCCCGTTGTGCTCACGGCTTATTCCTGGCTCTGTGCTCAGTATTAATTTCTGGCAGTGATCAGGGAACCATGTCAGATACTGGGGATTGAACCCAGGTCAGCCACATGCAAGGCAAGTGCTCTCCCTGCTGTGGTAACTGCCCATATGGCCCTACTTCTGAAATGTGTTTTTAAGTTTATGCTCTTTTTTGGGAGGGGGGACAGCCAAGTGGTACTCAGGAGGGACTGGAGACATAGTACAGTGGGTAGGGCTCTTGTCTTTCATGTAGCTGAGCCAAGTTTAATCCTTAGCACACTATCTGGTCCCTTGAGCCCTTCCATGAGTTATCCCAGAGTGGAACCAGGAATCTCAGAGTACAACCAGGAGTGGTCCAAATAACTGCATTCTCCTTCAACCACCAAACCCCCGTTCCCCACCCCTCACCCCCTAGAAAACCAAGTAGTATTCAGGACAGCCAGCAGGAGCCATGCAAGGAGTCTCAGTCACCTGTTCAATGCCAGGGTCTGATGATGCTGTGCTGCCGGGCCCTGCAGGGCTGAGATTACCCAGGCTACTCCAGTGCTGCTTGGGGGCCTCTTGAGCTGCACCAGGGGTGAAACACAGCCTGGACACAAGCCAGGCCTGTGTCCTAACCACTGTACTATCTTCTGGCCCCTGTGCTATTTTTTTTGTTTTGTCTTTTGTTTTTATTTTTTGGTGTTGGGCATCAAACCCAGATTTTATACTTGCGAAGGATGTGTTTTACTATTGGACCATATTCCTGTACTCTTGTCCTTCCTCCCTCCCTTCTTCCTTCCCTTCCTCCCTCCCTTCCCTTTCCTCCCTCACTTCCTCTTCCTCCCTTCCTGTTGCCTTCTCCTTTTTTTTTTTGACTTTTTGGGTCACACCCAGCCATGCTGAGGTGTTACTCCTGGCTTGGCACTCAGGAGTTACTCCTTGCTGTACTCGGGACCATATGGGATGCCAGGGATCAACCTGGATTGGACACATGCAAGGCAAATGCCCTACCCACTATACTATTACTTTGGCCCCTGTCCTTTCATTTTTATCCTTTCATTCTTCTGCACATTGCTCTCTAGTGGTTTTGCATGGTCTTTTCTATACTTCCACATTCTTCTATTTTACTTTTTTAGAAATACTGCTTTTTTTTCCTGTTCCTTATCCACTATATTTCTGTATTATAAGAATGAATACATGACTTTTAAAAAATGTAATTACATCTCTATTGGTTTTATACTTATAATGCCTTAGTTTTTTTTTAAAAAAAATAATTTAGTGCCTAAAACTTCATAGCCTCCTTTCCAATATTTTTTAGTTTGTTGAAATTGCAGCAAACTTTTCAATTTGAGAGAAATTAGAATCTGTTTTTAGCTTCTTTTACCTGAGAAAATACTCGAGTTACTTTTTGACCATATTTCTTTATTGAGGCAGTCTCAACGATGGATGATATTGGGGTACAACTGTGGTTGTTTCTAAAGGACATTATTTTTCCTTGCTTGTTTTAGTCTCCCTCTGAACTATGTATGAAGTGTTTGCTTAATTTTGTGTGGCTTTGGAGGACAAACCAGGAGTGATGTTCAAAATGGCAGGCAGGTTTAGTTTGCCCCAAGCAAGGTTGTTCTTTTCGGGTGGGGATGAGGCTCAGAGATGCTCAGATGTCACTGCTGGGGGGCTCAGGGAACCAGGTAGTGCTAGGGTTCACATCTGGGCTAGCTACAGAAAAGGCAAGAGACTTAATCCTCATACTGTCTTTCTGGTCCCCAAGCAAGATGGCTCTTATATTAAAACTTCTTGGGGAAAAAAAAGACAAGAAGCTTCTTGAAAAAATAGTGAGTTCCTGTCATTGAAGATATCTGGGAAAAAAAAAGACTGGATCTAATTTTCTGACTTGGTAACTTTGACTCCATTTTTCCTCTAAATTTTCAGCAGTTCTTGGGACAGAGCGATAGTATAGTGGGTAGGGCAGTTGCCTTGCAGGCAGCCAACCCAGGTTTGATCCCCGACACCCCATATGGTGGTCCCTGAGCACTGCTACTTGTGATCTCTGAATGCAGAGTCAGAGATAAGCCGTGACAATTGCTGGCTGTAACCCCAAAATAAATAAGAATACATTTTCAGAAGCAGCTTTTATTAATCAGAAGTTAGGTCAGACTCTAACATGGAACAAACACCCTTGGCTTTGTGAAAAATTACTAATATGAAAATAATGCCCTCTTCAGCAGGTAGAGCAGAGCATTAGGAGCTTGGGGGACAGGAAAATGTTATTTATATTAGCCTATTTCTATATTTCATTCATCACTCTGTGAGTTTAAATAACTGTGTAGGGTTAAATGAAGACAATACCTTAACAGGCATTGAAACCAATAGAGACTGAGGGTCTATTTCTACTTCCTGCATGCCTAAAAAAATTTTTTTTGCATTTATTTTTGTTGCTTAGTAATTCTGCATATTCATCAGTTATGAAATCATTGGTTCATTCCTTCTCCAATCTTCTCCACATATGCTTCATTAGGCTGAGGTGGAATGTTGTCAGTGGACTGTGTCGTCATCCCAGTCTAGCTGTAGAAATGTTTGGTAATTAAGAAGAACATTTCATAGTTTGACTTGCTATTTGGAGTTTCTACTGTATAGAGAAATGGTGATGATTATATGTGGTTTAATATGTAGGGAAGTAAGGGGGAACACAATAAAAGAATAGGTATTTCAGTGTCTGCTTAGAAACAGCAGTTTGTGTTTACTTTATTTTTTTTTAATTTCGGGGGGAGGGTTTGAGCCACACCTGGCAATACTCTGGGGCTCTATGCTCAGAATGACCCTTGGCAGTGCTCAAAGAACCACATGTGGTGCCAAGGGTAGAATCAGGGTTGTCAGAATGCACAGCAAGTGCCTTAGTTTCACTACTGTCCCTTTGGCTCTGAGTTTTTCTTTAAAGATTGTCCTGGGAAAATGTAAAGTGCTCCTTTGAGAAATCTGTAGAGAAAGGTGGGATTTAACACTCTTATCACCGATTCCTTACCTTCTTTTGGGTCTAAGACATTTCTCACCAGCCAATGACACTGGATCCTTACCCTTCAAACAGTCCTTTGTACATATGCACAGAATTGAAAATTTGATTTCAGGAATTTGTAGAATCCCTGAAACTGGTCACAGTAGATTATCTACTAAAAGTACAGAGTCCACTTAGCACCTTGACAACATGAAGCGCTCAGGTACTGTTCCTGGGATGGCCTGTTGAAGCCTATTAAAAATCCAGGTTGTGGAGCTGGAGGTTCTGGAATCCCATATGGTCCCCAGAGCACTACCGGGAGTGATTCCTGAGTATAGCCAGGAATAACCCCTGAGCACTGCCAGATGTGGCCCAAAATACAAAAACAAAAGCAAAAATCAGGTTATGATGTGACTGCAATTTGCCATCTATTTCTCTCAGCCAAAATGTCATGCACAGAATTCTTAGTATTGGAAGTGACAGGCTATAGACCAGTTGTACTATAAGGAAAGTTGACTTCCTTTCTATTAATTTCATCTTCTTTCTACCTTTTTTTTTGGTTGTTGTTCACACCCGGCGGTGCTCAGGACTTACTCCTGGCTCTGCGCTCAGGGATCACTCCTGCCAGGCTCGGGGGACCATATGGGGTGCCGGGGATCGAACCTGGGCCAGCCGCGTGCAAGGCAAGTGTCCTACTGCTGTGTTCTCTCTTTGGCCCCTCTTCTTACCCTTTTTGAAAGCACTGACTGCTCTTGGGATGGAATGCAGCAGCTTCTTAGCAGTTGCACTGCACTCTAGTGCTTTGGAGCAGAAAATAAAGAGCCACAAGATCAACTTGGGGTGGGGGAGGTCTGGTGAGGGTGGGGAATTCAAAGGAAAATATATGAGGACTGGGGGATGTAGCTTGATGATAAAACACTTGCCTTGCATGTATGGGACCCTGGGTGTTTGATCCCTGGCATAGCCAAAAGAAAAATGAATGAGCTTAGAATTGATCATTTGTCCAGGTTACTTATAGATTACCAGCAAAAATTATGACAGTTTTACTCATTAATAGTTGGAAATCTGGGGAAGGGGTGTAAGGTGCTTGCTTTGTATGCAGCTAACCCAGATTTGATCCCCAGCATCCCATATGGTCCCCCAAGTCTTCTAGGAGTGATCCCTAAGTGCAGAGCCAGGAGTAAGCCCTGAGCTCAGCCAGATGTGGTCCCAAAACAAGAAAACAAAAAAAATTAGAAATCTTCAGTGAACCTGATATAGATATATCCATGGCTCCAAGTGCATTTTAGCAAATACATTGAGTTTGGAGTGTAGAGGGTATTTGTGCTAGATGCTGTGAATTCTATAATTGCCATTGCCCAAGACTTTGCAATCAAGTAGCCTCTAAGGTGTTCTCAGGTGAAAAAGTTTTTTTATCCAAATTAAGATTTTTTTTCTTGATAATTTCCCCCAACACAGCTTTTCTCCAGATCTAGCTCTGGATTCACCAGGCACTGACCACTTTGTCATCATTGCACAGCTGAAGGAAGAAGTAGCTACTCTGAAGAAGATGCTACATCAAAAGGATCAAATGATTTTGGAGAAAGAGAAGAAGGTAAGAGATGTGGTATAGGGCATAATGTTAGCTCTGTTTTGGGATCCTTATCCATTGATGCTTTGAAAGAGAAACCCAAGTTTGCAGGCAAAGTTTGGATAGCCTGCAGAGAGGCTTGCTAGGATCACTTTGGGTATAGTATTATCATGATGAATCAACCTCAGTCAAATGGGTTTAGAAAGTTGATTTTTCTGAGCCCCTGGAAATGGAATTTCCATTTTTCAGGGGAGGATTCCCATTAACCAAGACAACAGAGATGATGTTTAAAATTTCACTGTCTACCGCAAAACATACCGCATTTGGTATTGTTTTGGAACCACATCTGGTAGTGGTCAGGGCTTACTCATGACCCTGTGCTCAGGGATCATTCCTGGTGGGATTGGGGAGCCATTTGTGGTATCAGGGATTGAACCTGGGTTAGCCACAAGCAAAGTAAGCAGCATCTTACCCAGCTCCTATCTATCTCCCCAGCTTTGCACTATCCACCTCTTAATTTGGGGTCATATAGTAGAGTAGTACTATCCTTCCTACCCTTCCTTCCTACCTTAGAGACTGTTCTCTTCTCAGAAGGTTCTCCTAAGTGAGCATGGAGTTGATACAAAAGGTAGTATTGTAATTGTAATGCTTAATGATCTCAGGCTAAGAGAACTTGGTGTCCCTATCTCTATTATTGGATTGGCCATGCCATGGTCAGTAAGGTTCAAAATAGGTAGGCCAGCTCCCTGGATAATGTTTAGGCCAGTCCTCCAAGGCTCTTAGGGCACCTTGCTTCCGTTGCTGACAGCTACGGCTCTGAGTGACTATTCTCTGAACTTGTTCATCTCTTCAGTGATATGCTGTGATATTCCTATTCTGGTATAAGAGTCATCCTCCTCCTTCTCTATGGTTACTTTTTACATCCTTGTTCTGATTCATATCTATTTCTTATTCTCAGGTTCTTAGAAAGATTATCATTTTTGCTTTAATGTATTAGTAACAGTCACAACTAGTTTTTATTGGATGCTTGCTGTACACCTGACTATTCTAAGTTTATTATCCTATCATTATTTCATAGATGAAGAGTACCTCTGGTATTTTTCCTCTTAGGAATTTTGTTGTTGTTTTGGGGCCACACCCAAGTAGTGCTCAGGGCTTACTCCTGGCTCTACTCTGGAATTACTCCTGGTGGTGCTTGGGACCATATTGGATGCCGGGGATCAAACTCAGGTCAGATGTGTGCAAGGCAATCGCCCTACTTGCTGTACGTACTATCTCTGCGGCCTCTGCCTTAGGATTTTGATCCCTTTACCTAGATTTTTTATTCCCCCTGAAAGCTACTTGTTATTTTGTACTATATTCAGAATGTAGTAATTCACTCTGATCAGCCGTTAAGACATAATATTGAAGGGGTTTTGTTTGGTTTTGGATCACACCCAGCTATGTTCAGGACTTAATTCTGCCTCTGTGCTCAGGGATCACTACTGGAGGTGTTCAGGGGAATCAAACTCAGGTCAGCTGCATACTGAGGCAAGCACCTAATCCACTGCCTTCGCTTCCTGGCGCCACATTGAACACACTCTCTGTCTCTCTCTATCTCTCTGTCTCTATCTCTCTCATTTTTAAAAGGTATTTTTTTTTTTTTTTTGCCTTTTGGGTCACACTGGCTATGCTCAGGGGTTACTCCTGGATCTGCACTCAGGAATCACTCCTAGCAGTGCTCAGGGGACCATAGGGATGCTGGGGATCGAACTCAGGTTGGCCTCATGCAAAGCAAATGCCCTCCCTGCTGTACTATTGCTCCAGCACCTCTCGTAAAAAAGTTTTTTTCCTCATTTTTTTTGGAGGGTGGGGGGGGGTGGGAGTTGCCAGAGTGTGCTCAGGAGTGGTCCCTAGCAGTACTCAAGGGACCATAAGTGGGATGGAACTGGAATCAGCCACATGCAAGGGAAACACCTCACCTTCTGTACTGTCTCTCTGACCCAGCATTCTTTGTGTTAGTTGGGGGTGGGGAGGATATCAGGGATCAAACCCAGGGTATCACATACATGGCAACTGAGCAATATCTCCAACCTTTACATGAATTCTGCCATCTAATCTTTGTTGTATAGATGAGGAAATGGACTCCAAGAGATTAAATTATAAATCCCTAGTATAGTAGGTGGCCTCACTTGCCTTACACATGGCTGACCCGGATTCAATTCCCAGCATCCCATATGGGTGGTCCCCCAAGCACCACCACAAGTACTTCCTGAGTGCAGACCCAGGAGTAACTCCTGCAAATTGCCGGGTGTGGCCCAACCCCCCCCCAACACACACAAAAATTATGTATTTCAATTACACAACTGAAAAAATGTCAGAACAAAGGAATCTAAGGTATTTTTTAATGTAAGAGTATTGCTATTTATTCAGCCACTGAATAAGCTGCCTAAAACAGGCATGAACTCTACATTACTTTTTTAAAAAAATTTTATTGAATATCTGTGAAATAGACCATTACAAAACTATTCATGATTGGGTTTCAGTCATACAGTGGTTCAACACCCATCCCTCCATTGGTGTACATTTCCCACCACCAATATCCCCCATTTCCCTCCCGCCACCCCCCAACAACCCACAATCAATCCCCAGCCTCTATTTTTGTGCCTTATTATTTGCAATACAGGTACTAAGAGGTCATCATGTTTGTTCAGGGCATTCAGTATTTTTATTGGGATGGTAAGGCTGGAGTAGCAGCTTTGGGGTGTGGATGTGACTGCTAAGGCTTATGGAAGTACAGGGAAGTGGGGAGCGGTAGCCCATCCTGACCCTGAGAAAACCTGGAGATTTCAGTCACAAAACCCGCATACCTGAATTTTTAGCAGATTATATCTAGGTGAGCTCTATCCTGAGATGGTGGACCAGACCAGGGGCATGGTGGTGATTAGGATTGTAGAAGCAAATGGCTTCAGGGCGCTCTGCTTGGGTGGGCACCCGTCTAACCTGTCCCCCTCGAATTTACTTTGGTCTGTTTAGTCTTACATGGGTCTGAGATTAACTGTGGCTTTTGGTCTCTTTCAAGATTTATTTATGGGACTTGAAGCAAGGCCAGTAGAAGAGCTTACATGGTGGCACTGGAGTTGATTCGTGGGAGTGACTGCCAGTGCTTTTAGTAGTGTAAGGAAGTGGGGGGAGGTAGCCCATCCTAATTCTGAGAAAACCTGGAGATTTCCAATCACAAAACCCACATATCCAAATTTTCAGCAGGTTAATATCTTGGTGATATCTGTCCTGAGATGGTGGAGTCTGGCCGGGGACATGGTGGCGATTTTGGATTGTGGGAGCAAGCAGCTGCCGGGGGCTCTGCTTGGGCGGCACCAGGCTAACCTGCACCCCTCCAATTTAATCTGGTCTGCTCAGCCTTGTGTGGGTCTGAGATTAACTGCAGCTTTTGATCTCTTTCGAGATTTATTTATGGGTCTCTGAAGCAATGCTGAAAAATGAGCTTTTATAGCTGAGCTGGAGGTGGTTTGTGAGCATGACTCCCACATACGTAAGTTTTGGCCATTTAATTTCTCATGAAACTTAGTCCCAAGTTGTTGGGGTCTGGCCAGAGGCACAGCGACAATTTTGGGGTATCAGAAAGCCTGAAGGCACCATAAGGCTGCTGATGCACTCACCTTGCAGGTACAGGTTGACCTGCTGGTGGCACCGTACCCCCTTGGTTATGTTTATTTTTATAAGTTACACCTTCTTGAGAAGAGACTAATACTCTTTCCACTTTACTACATGATTCATGCAAATAGACCCAAGTACATTTTCTTCATGGATCATAAAGGAATGGACAGAAAGAATTTTTGCAAATCATGGGTCAGAGCAATAGTACAGTGAATTGCCTTGCTTACACTTGCTTAGTGGTTTTTGATCCCTGACATCCCACATGGTCCCCCAAGCCTGCCATGAGTGATCCCTGAATGCAGAGCCAGGAGTAAGCCCTTAGCACCACTGGGGTGTGGCCCAAAGCCATAAAGAGAAAAAGAAAAAACACTTTTGCAAATCAGGCAAAATGAATGCTTAATTCTAGTGCTATTGCGAAGTTGGGGTTTAAAAAGGAACAGAAACAGATTGTTTTTTGCAACGTCACACAAGCTCTTTATGTCATGTCTGTCTGTCTCTGATCTTATCTCTTTTGGTTTTTATTTTTCTTATTTTATTCAATTTTATTTTGATTTTTTAGTTTGTTTTTTTCAATTTTGGGGACCATACTTGGTGGTTCTAGGGAATCAAACCTAGGGTTCTTCCATGCAAAGCATGAACTCTGGTCTTTGAGCTATCTCCTTGGCCCTTAAAAGTTACTTCTTACAATATTTTTGGAGGCCGCACCTGGCAGTGCTCAGGGCTTACTCCTGGTTCTGAACTCAGGGATCACTCCTGGCATGGTTTGGGGTATTATATGGAGTGTCAGAGATGGAATTCAGGTTGGCTACATGCAAAGCAAGCACCCTACGCACTGTCCAATCTCTCTGACAGCACCCACTTTTAAGAAATTTTTTTTCCCATTTTTATTGAAGTGTCAGGATTTAAAATACTGTTAAATTATTCTTTTCATGAATACATGATTCCAGCACAACACCAATCATGAGAATGCCTGTTTCCTCTACCAGTGTCCGAAGAGTCTCTCCCAGGCAGCCCCCGCCCTGCCCCCGTCATGGAAGTTTAGTTCTATAGATAAAAGTCTTCAGTTCTACAGGGCTGGAGCGATAGTACAGTGGGTAGGGCATTTGCCTTGCACACGGCTGACCCAGGTTTGATTCCTGTCATTCCATATGGTCCCTGGAGCACTACCAGGAGTAATACCCGAGTGAAGAGCCGGACATAACCCCTGACTATCTCTGGGTATGACCAAAAAAACCAAAAAAAATAAAGGTCCAGTTCTGTTGACTTTGACCATTTGTTAATTCCTTACTGTGTTTCTCTATATCTCACATATGAGAAAGTTTGTTTTTTTCACTGTGGAAGAGGTGACAACTACATGTACAAAGATAATTAAATCTAAACTTCTGAAAATCCATAAAATTGTAAAACAGTGATAAGTTTAAAAATAATTTTTTTCCAAAAACTGTATCTTTTTCTAGGGCGGGAGAGATAGCACAGCGGGCAGGGCACTTGCCTTGCATGCAGCGACCTGTGTTTGATCCCTGGCATCCCATATGGTTCCTTGAGCCCTGTGAGGAGTGAGCTTTGAGCACAGAGCCCGGACCACTACTGGGTGTGGCTCCCAAACCAAAAACCAAACCAAACAAAAACCGTATCTTTCTCCTTTTATAGATATATAAATTAAAACAATAGTGTGGCTAATTTTTTACTAATGCATGTTTAAATTGGGTTGGAGTGATAGCCCAGCGGTAGGGCGTTTGCCTTGTGCGCAGCTGGCCGGCTGAGCCAGGTTCGATTCCTCTGCCCCTCTCGGAGAGCCCGGCAAGCTACCGAGAGTATCTTGCCCGCACGACAAAGCCTGGCAAGCTACCCGTGACATATTCGATATGCCAAATACAGTAACAACAAGTCTCACAATGGAGACGTTACTGGCCCGCTTGAGCAAATCGATGAATAACAGGAGGACTGTGACGTGATGTTTAAATTAGTATGAAATAGATAAATCCTTCAGATATACAATTTAATAGAAATGAAGAGAGGAAAATTGAAATTAAGGGGAAATCTGAATAAGCCTATGAAAATATAAACTTTTAAAAGGGACTGTAGGCTTTATGTTAGAAAATATCACAATAACCCCATAAATTTCTGCATTAGTAAATAAAATATAATAATAATATCTATAGGTGCAACAAAATTACCTAATAGATATAGAACATTCAACATGAATGAAGTATTAATAAATTATTGAAAAAGTATAGCAAGATTGGCATAAACAGACCTTTCTTTATCTAGTAGAGGGCAACCATAAGCACTGTGAGTGAATTCCACATTCAGTGACAGAGTGCTGAGTAGTTTGTCTTGTCTTCTAAAGAAGTTCCTTTGTAACAGTGCAGCGGTGAAGGCGCTTGCCTTGCATGTGGGTGACCTAGGTTCAGTCCCCAGCACCTCATACGGTCCCCCGAACCCTACCTGGAGTGATCCCTGAGTACAGAGCCAGGAGTAAACCCTGAGCACCCCTGGGTGTGTCCCCCAAACAAAAACAAAACAAGAAGCTCTTTTCAGGTTTCAATGCTATGAATTCCCTAATCAGTTGCCATGAAGCTTTTTATCATTCCTCCAAATGTGAATGATAATCGGGCTGGATAGAATAGAATATTCTTGGTGAGACATTCATTTCATTGAATTTTTTTTTATACCTCCATGACATATTCGATATGCCAAAAACAGTAACAACAAGTCTCACAATGGAGACATTGCTGGTGCCAATCCATGAACAACTACAGTGCGACAGTGCTACTGTATCCCCATTCTCTTCTGGTTTGTACAGACTTATTTGCTAGATCTGCTATGAATCTGTTTGTTTACTTTATTTATTATTTTTTGGCTTTCTTTTGGGTCATATCGGCGTTACTCAGGGGTTACTTCTGGCTCTACCTTCAGGAATCACTCCTGGCATGCTCGGGAGACCATATGGGATGCCGGGGATTGAACCCAGGTCTGCTGTGAATCTAGATTATGGGCTTTCCTTTGTAAATTCCTTTTTTGATCTGCTGCTTTCAAATTTTTTTTTTTAGTTTGCTTTTTTAAAAGTTTGGGTCACACCCAGCAATACTCAGGGGTCACTCTGGGGTCTGCAGTTAGGAATTAACTCCTGACAGTGCTCAGGGGCCCTTGTGGGATGCCAGGGATTGAACCCGGGTTGGGCACATGCAAAGTTGTACTCTCTCCAGTTCATGTTTTTAATATTCTGTCTGTATCTTTGGTGTTTGTCAACTCTGATTATCATGTGCCTTGAAGTTTTTTTTTTTGTGGAGAGGGGGTCTGTTTTTACTGATACCCTTCTGGCCTCTTAGATCTCAGTATCTGCAATCCTCAACTCTGGGAAATTCTTTTAGCTATGATTTCTTTAACTGATGGCTCTTCATTGAATTTGACTTTGTGTTCTTCAGGGACTCTGATGATTCTTTTCTTCTTTTTTCCTTTTTGCTTTTTTGGGCCACACCTGGTAATGCTCACTGGTAACTCTTTGCTGTGCACTCAGGAATTATTTCTGGTGGTGCTTGGGGGGACCATATGGGATGCAAATACCCTACCCGCCTAGCCCCATCATCTTAGGTTTTCTTGATATTTTCCTCAGCTGCTGTTATTCTGCCAGTCAGTCCCCTCTATTGCATTTTTTGTTTTATATGACCAACCGTATCCTTCATTTGATACTTCTAAATATAGTATTCTTATTTTCCTTCTCATACTTTCTAGTTCTTTGCTAACTACTTATGCCATTGTTTCTTTGAGCCCATTAAATTTCCTCAGAGTGGTGTCACTGAGGTCACTGTCTCCGAGTTTACTGAATAGTCGGTATTGCCAGAACCTTCCATGTTTTTATTTTTAACTCATTGAATCTGGTGGGGTTCTACCTGTCTTCTCCATTGTGTTTGGTGAATCTTTGTAATTAGCCCCTCCGCTCAACCCCCACCTCGCCCCCAGTCTCTGTGGGATTAGGCTGTGTGTTGCTCCTTTTCTTCTCTACTGACTTCAACTAGTGACAGGAAATGTAAATGTGAGCTGCACGAGGTGTGATAAGAGAAGCTGTAGGTTTAGGAGATATGAAGGTGACCTTCTGAGAAGATGCGGGTGTGGAGGTCTGCTAGGACCCCAGCAGGGAGGGAGGGGATCTGCTTCCAGATAGAAAAAGGCACTAGGAATCTTGGATGTTAACTCTAGAGGTTAAACTCACCATGGGGTTGGAAGCGCAAGTGGTTGAGATGTGGAGGTGCCTGCTGAGAAGATGGTGCCTGAAAATTACTTCCTAATCAGAACTACTTCAAGTTTTCCTGTAAATTTTGGAATATCTTTTATTTTTTACTTATTTATTTATTTTAAAAACCCAGGATACAGAATTTCCCTGGTTTTGGGGCCTGGAGTGATAGTACAGTGGGTAGGGTCTTTGCCTTGCACGTGGCCAGCCTAGGTTCGATTCCCAGCATCCCATATGGTCTCCTGAGCACCACCAGGAGTAATTCCTGGGTGCAGAGCCAGGAGTAACCCCTGAGCATTGCCTAGTGTGACCCAAAAAGCCAAAACAAACTAACAGAATTTCCCTCGTTTTGATTTGGGTATGGATACTTGTGAGATCCCTACAGTTCATTAATTGGGGGTGGGGCACAAATTATAAGCTTTCTGGTGCTGAAATATGTCTTATTGCACAGAAATTTCTTCTGGTCATTCTGCCCCTTCCCCCCCCCCCCACCTTTTGTTTGGGGGGCCGCAGCCAGGCAGCAGGGAGAGGTATTGGGCTACACTCAGCTTTATTCGGGAGCTACTCCTGAGCATAGTAATGCCCAGGGAACTGTATGGTGTTAGGAATGAAACTTGGGCCTCTGACATGCAAAGCATATGCTCAAACACTTTGAAAGCTCTCTCCTTGGCCTCCTCACCTTGCCTTTTTCCCCCTCAGATTACAGAGTTGAAGGCTGATTTCCAATACCAAGAATCTCAAATGAGAGCGAAAATGAATCAGATGGAGAAAACCCACAAAGAAGTTACAGAACAGTTGCAGGTGACTGTTACATTATGTGGTAACCATAATGTACTTAATTGTATTTTAAGTGATCCTCTCATAGATTTCTTAAATTATTGCAGATCACCTTTAAATTTTATTGTGTTAATCCACCTTGTAGTTGTCTTTAACTATTTCGCTTTCTTGTTTTGTTTTAGGGCCATATTCAAAAGCTGGGTGTGACAGTCACTCCAAGTGGTGCTCAGGGCACCCTGTGGAGCCTGGGATTTAATCTGGCCTCCCATATGCAAAACACGGAATCCAGCCCCTTTAAGCCATCTGCCTACCCACTTCTTCTACCCTTGGATACATTCTGATCTTTCCCCCCCAAAACAATGGAATTAATAAATGATTTTTAAACAAGCTAGATGTGATTCCAGATCTAAATTATCAATTCTATGTTCCAGCACAGTAAGTAAACCACTCTGTGGTTTATTTTGTTGCATAAAGCAGCCTTTTATAACAGGACTCCCAGGAGATTGAAGTACACTGAGTAACCAGCAAATACTTTCTTCTTCCTGAACCAGCCCTAGATAGAGCTTTCTCTTGTTTTCTCCCTCTTAAGAATTTATTCACTTCTGCCTGACCTTTGGCCTTAGCACCAATTTAAGAAACATATCCTGTCCTGTTAAAACACCCTTCTTACCTGATTTTTTCCCTTCCTTTTAGGCCAAAAACCGAGAGCTCCTGAAGCAGGCAGCTGCATTGTCCAAGAGCAAGAAATCTGAAAAGTCAGGAACTATAACCTCTCCATGAGAGATTCCAAGGAGCCTCCGAGCAAAAGCGGGGAATTCCTGGGTTAGGTTTGGTGACCTGGCTGTTCCCTGGGAATTGCAAGCTTTCTTAAGAAATCTCTATTTGATTATAGTTTTCCTTCTTTGTGCGATTGCAATGGACTGAATGGTTTGTGCTGTATTATGGCTGCATGCTTGAATGTCTGGGGTTTTAATCTCACTCTTCTCTCTTCCTCATTATTCTCTTTGTCCCTCTTTTGGTACTACTTTTTTAAATGCTGATCACTGCTCAGTGCTACGTGCAACAAGATTTTTTTGTGTGTATCGATCATTGTGTCTTGCCACACCCATGAGCAAAGGGTTTGGCATTAATTACATGTCACTGCCACCCTTTGAACTTTGAAAACTGCCACCTTAAGTTTGGTACAGTGGTAGAGGCTTTCTCTCTCCAATAAACCTTTTGCTTCAGGGTATATTCTTGGGTTTTTTTCCAGGTATATTATGTATGAACTTTGTACTATGTATAGCCAGAGTTTTATTTATTTTTTAAAAGAGAAACTTTTTTTTCTTGATAAAGGAATAATAGTAGCCTAGCTTGTTGTTCTTGTAAAAATGATGCCTCTTAAAAAAAAAAAAAAGTCCTGCTCTGTAGTTTTTAGTAACAGAACCAGATCTCTTTCTTGTTACCTTGGAGTCTTAAAACTGATTGCTAAGGTGAAAAAATTCAATGCATAAGTACGGAGTTAAGTGCCTTTTGGAGGATTTCTTGGAAGAGCATTTAAGAAGTTACTTAAGGGAGGCAGCAAAAATTTGGACAGTCTGTCTCTTTTAAGTAAGGGCAGATAGAAGGTTGTCCAGGTTGTACTGGACACTTCCCTCCCGCCACCCCTTTCCTGATTATGTAATTGATTTTAAATACTTACACTGCCACTTCTTTTTTTAAAGTACCCTTGTTTTTATCAGTTGTCATACTGAACCATTGTCAGAGTTTTATTTTGCAGGAAGATTTGAAATGGGAGAATACTGACATTAATAGGATAAGGGGTCAGTATGAGCTTCTCAGGTATGGACTCTGAGTTTGACCGGGAGAAATGACGTCCCTGAATCGTCTCCCCCTCCTCACGCACTCCAGCCTGTACACTCCTAGATTTTAATGGACATGTATTGAAAACAGGTGCCAGAGGTAGGGTGTGCTCAGGTGAAAGTGCTCGTGCCCTGTTTTCCGTTTTTGATTCAGTAGGCATGTGGATTTACTTTTCCAGGAAAGGGGATGGATTGGCATTATTAGCCATACTCTCAGGTGTCCCCAACGTGATGTTTGTGAAATCCATAGCTGTGTGTAGTGTGCCACAAAACAGTGTAACCAACTACCTTAGAATCATGTAGAGTGGTATAGAGTTAGAGTTAATCATGAGGACAGATGACTTTTGTACTTCAATTACCAAAATGAATTGAAGCAATGGTTTTTAACTTGCTTTATATTTATTAGGAGCAAATGCTGATAATTTGTGATTAACATTGTCACAAATGGAGCCAGGAACATTAGTGAATAAAATCATGGAAATGGGTGGCTTCTGATAAGAGAAACAGTGGACCACATTGCTTATATAGCACTCTAGTATGGTATATAATTTTCCCTTCTAAGCTAGGGAAACAGCAGTGCTAAATAGTTTTGTAATTTTTTGAACGAATAACTTTTAGGTAAAGATAAAATGTCAGACTATTTTTTGGATGCATTTACATTGACTATGGGGGGAAAAGACTGAAAAAATTGACAGTCATGTTTTTTTAATTTTGAAGACGAGAAATCTGTTACAATGAAGTGATGCTATAAAAGCATTTAGTTTTATACTGTATGTTTTTTTAATGTCTTGGCATTTAATATAAAGAAAATCCACACATTTTCTAACTTTCCACAAATTCCAAAAAGGGAAGTATAAAGCCTGTCTTGAAATTTTGGTTTTTAAAAATCATGACACTGTTTTACCATGAAATTGAGTAGCTAACTTTTGGTAACACCTTTTGTTTATTTGTATGTTTGTAATAATGAATATTTTAAAACAAGGAATGTTTTGGTTTGTACAGACTTTGACAAATGTGTGTTAATAAAAATTCATATTGACTCAAGAATAACTGTTGGGTTTGCTTTTCTTTCTTTTGTGTTACTAGGGATTGAACCCAGAGCCTCATGCATGTAAGGCATAAGCTTTACAACTAAGCCATATCTCAGATGGAATTATTATTTCTTCCTTGCTGATTCATAAATGATATGTTCCCATTCTTCTATCTGAAAAAGTATCTTGCATACATAAAAAAATTACAACAGTAGGGCATAGGGAGATAGCACAACAGACAATAGTGCATGTAGGAGCCCAGTAGTTGATTCCTGGCATCAAACAGTTTCCTGAGCACCTATAGGAGTGACCCCCAATCACAGAGAAAGGAGTTGCTTCCGAGCACTGATACAAGTGTGCTCCCCAGAAAAAAAATTAGTTATAACTTAGGCCTGGGAATACCTCAGCTCTTGAGTGCTTGCTATGCAAGCACCACCCACATCCCCGCAGTGTGATTGCAGCAGCTCTGCGTTTTGGTTGCCTGGATTCACAACAAGGTGATCTGTGGTGCTCAGTCACCAAGTATGTGGGAGCACCACTCCTGAAGTATGCAACCATCACAGTCAAGTGTGTGTGACACCCCCCTCCTATCACCAGAAACATTAAAAATATTGTAAGGGGTTGGAAAGATAGTACAGCGGTTAAGGTTCTTGTCTTGCACATCATCCCCAATACCGCAAAGAGCATAGAGTCTGCTGAACTCTGCCAAGAGTGACCCCTAAATACAGAGTGAGGAGTAAACAATTTAATATACCTGCAAATACTATTGATAACAAATTTTGGTAAGAATGATCTTTGTGGGGCTAGAGAGTACTGCAGGTAGGGCACTTCTTGCCTTGCATGTGGTCAAACCAGATTCAATCCCCAGCATTCCATATGGTCTCCTGGGCACCTACAGGAGTAACAGGAGTAGTTCCTAGATTCAGAGCCAGGAGCGAGCCCTGAGCATCATTAGGTGTGATCCCAAAACAAAACAAAAAGAAAATGATCTTTATTTCACAACTTCTGAGCCTTCAGCTACAAAGACTCAAGCTGAATGACAGTCATTTTGTTTTATTTTGTGACTATACCCAGTGCTGTTCAGGGGCCCTTCTTGGCTCTTTGCTTAGGAGTGACCCTTGGCAGTACTCAGGGCGGACCATATGAGAATTGGAGCAGGGTCACCTTCAGGGCTGGAATTATCTCTCTGAAGGCACTATACACTTGTATATCTGGTAGTGGGGCAAGGAGGCAGGCAAGTCTAGTAACGCTTGACTGGAGAGCCTACCTAAAACCCCTCCATATTCAGCATGAAGGCCTCAAGGTTGAATTCGTGATGGCTAAAGACTACAAATGTGAGTTTTCTAGTAAACAAAGCTAAAGCTGCTCTGTATCTTCTTAACCATCCCTTTACCTCACTTCTTTTACCTCATTTCTTTAGTCAAAGCATTAGAAGCCCATCCAGATGTAAAGGGATAGGCCATAGACCCTTTCTCCTTTTTTTTGCAGGGTGGGGGCACACCTGGTAATGCTCAAGACTTGCTCCTGGCTCTGCATTCAGGAATCACTTATGGTGGTACTCGGGGAACCACATGGAATGCCAAGGACTGGACCCGATTTAGCTGCATGCAAGGCAATTGCCCTACCCACTGTACTATCTCTCCGGCCCCTACCCTTTCTCTTGACTAGGTAGAAGAGCATGTGGGATGAAAGCTATTGTGGTTATCTTCAAAAATTATATATATAATGTTCCATATAGGAAATGGGTTTTAGAACCAAACTGAATCCAAGAGAACAGACAGAAGCTGCAATATCTTTCACAACCTCCCTTTAGGCATCACACTATTATCATTGCTATAATACCCTATTAATTAGCACTGTAGCACTGTCCTCCCATTGTTCATCGATTTGCTCAAACACTGAACAAACACGATTTGAACAAACACTGCTGTTTCCCTAGCTTAGTAAAGGCACCAGTAATGTCTCCATTGTGAGACTTGTTACTGTTTTTGGCATATCAAATATGCCATGGGTAGCTTGCCAGGCTTTGCGGTGCGGGTGGGATATTCTTGGTAGCTTGCTGGGCTCTCCAAGAGGGGCGGAGGAATTGAACCCGGATCAGCTACATGCAAGGCAAACACCCTACCTGCTGTGCTATTACTCCAGCCCTACTGATTACTGAGTCAAATTACAACATTACTTGATGTAGAATTTGTATTATCTAGATGGCTTTATACCAGGAGATTCAGTTTTGTCAAGTATTCATCTTGGAGGCTGGATACCCCATTTACCTGTTGTACCAACTCTCCAGTCAGCCCCAAGACAAACACTTTAACCACGGTGCTCTCTCTGGCCCTGGGAGCACAGTTTTAGGAAATTTTCTATGAGGATGCTTTCCTTTATCTTGGTTTAGTTGGTGGTGACATAGGAATGTACATGTAAAATTAATTGAATTAAATATCCTTCATATTCTATTATATGTCAGTTTCATTTGATAAAAATTAAGGGGCTAGAATGATAGTACAGTGGTTAGGGCATTTGTCTTGTATGGATGACCCAGGTTCAATCCTAGGCACCCCTTATTTTATGGTCCTCCAAGCTCTCCAGGAGTGATCCCTGAGTGCAGACCCAGAAGTAAGCTCTGAGCACTGCCAGATATGGCCCCAAACCAATCCCTCCCCCCATTCCCCAGATTGACACAGAAGTCATAGAGGTAATTCAACAGGTTAAATACATGTAGAAAATCTAGGTTTGATCTGTTGCACGGCTTGATCTCTGAGCACCTCTGGCTCAGAGTGACTCTGAACATCTAGTGCTGGGAGTGGCCCAAAACCAAAATTAAGTAAAATTAATACAGAAAAATGCTGCTTAGTCTTAAAAAATGCTGATATGAACATTCCTATGCTTGGTATTTGTAATATATGCATTTATATCTTTTCAGCATATAGTTGGGTATGCAGTAAGGAGAATTGCTGGATTATAGGATATTTATGAATCTGCAACTTAGTAGCTGAATGACATTGGACATCTTGAAACTACCAGTTTTCTTATGTTACCAAGGAACAAATCACCTTCAAGGTAAAAACCACAACAATTGTTCTGTCATTAATAAAGAAATACAATGCTGAGAAACTATTGTTTAAAATGACAGATTTTCAGAAAATTTGCTTTTTGAAAGATTAGTAGGACCGTAACATTCCACTCTTGCCTTGAGTATCTGAATTAATCTGACAGAGAAAAGCAGCCTCAATTTCCAAACCAGGTGCAAAAACTCAGATAAGGGGCTTCCAGATACAACATTCTACAACATTCCACATTTATCTTCATGTTGTAGTTTCCAAGGAAACAGGATCTGGAGTCCTCTTACTCAGGCCTGGTAATAATCCCTTTGCACACAGTCGTGTGTGCTTTGAAATATCAGAACACAGCTTCTTTTAAATTTCCCGACACTTCTTTCCCCCTAATTTTAGAATAACTCTATCTCTTTTTGTGGTTAGTGGGATGCCCCATAATTCCTTTGGCTTGCAGCCAGTCTCCCTAATGGCATGAATCCAACTGTTTTGTCAGGCACTGGTGGGCTTTATCAGATAGGCTTTACCTTGGAGATTAGCAATAACAGCTAGAAAATGTGTTCATATTGCCTGGGTAGGCATTTTTAAAATGGTAGCTATTTTTTATTGTTCACGCATCAATATAATGACTTGTTCATTTCACATCTAGTATATGCACAGCAATAAGATACATAAGTAAAATAGCACAACGTTTGTGTCTTCAATCCCTAGAAGAAAAATACCTTTATAGAACTTTAGAATCAAATATAAATGAAAACATCCTCAACTCTATTAGACAAGAAAATACAGGACCAGGGTCAGAGATAAAAGTGCAGTGGGTAGGGCATTTGGGCTAACCTGGGTTCTATACCTGGTATCCCATATGGTCTCGCTAGCACCTCCAGAAGTAATTCCAGAGCATTGCCAGTGGCCCAAAAACCAAGTGGGGGGGAAGTATAGGACCAAACTTAGAGGGCTGTGGTGAATGTTCTGCATGCGGGATGCCCAGGCTTTATCTTCAGAACCCCTGGACAGAACCCTTGATCAACTGTGCTGGTACCCTCAAAGTTAAATTTACGTGATTTGCTATAATATTGACAAAACTGGGACTGGAGAGAGAATAGCAGATAGGGAGCTTGTTTTTCACGTGATAAACTGAGATTAAAACCCAGCACACCATATGGTCCCTTGAGCCCCACCAGGAGTCATAACTAATAGCAGAGCGAGGAGTACAAACAAGCCTTGAGAACCGTTGGATGTGGCCCCCAAACAAAACAACGCCCCCCCCCAAATATTCTAGGACAGAAATAATTCTAGGGCTGAAAGCTTATCTCCATATTTGTCTTCTGCTCTCCTCACAGGCAACAACTTCCTCTCTTTGCTATGCCCCAGATATCTCAAACAGGCTGCCATGGGGGGTGGAGTGGGGGTGGGGTGGCTTGGGGGGTAGGTTGCGGGGGGAGTGGAAAATCGCAGACACTGAATGGTCTTCTCCCAAATCAGTCTTGTCCCTCTCTCTGCTTTAACCGTAAACTCACAGAAGTCTGTTACAGGAACTCATTGAGATCTTACACTTAAGGAAATAATTTTTCACATTTTGAGATTCTAGTTCTCTAAGAAATTCTTATTTGGAATATAAATGAAGAGGTTATTTGAAAGGGGTTTAAGTAGAGACTTTAAGGAAGATAAGATTGTGTTTTAGGGAAATATGAAAATGATGGAATTAGTTTAGTGCATGGGTTTTGTAGTCCAATATCAGAAAAACAAATTAACCTCTATAACCTATCATCTGTAAAAGATTTAAAGTTTGCTTTTTAAACTTATGCTTACTTTACCGAGGTACTTTACTTCAACATTAAGAACATCGATTTTTCATTATCTGTTCTGCAGAATATCATTTCTTGCCCTGAAACCAAGCAAATTGCAGAGACAAATATTACTATTATATTTATATGCTTAATAAATTATTATAGCGCTTAATGGTTTATAG